GCCGCCTTCTGGCAGGGGGAAGAAGGAGGAGAAGATGAAGAAGTACCGGCGGGCCTTGGCGCTGGTCTCCTGCCTCTCCCTGTGCTCTCTGGTCTGGTGAGTGGCCGCGGCCGCGCGGGAGTTTCCCTGGGGAGGCCGCATCTCGGGTCACACCCCCGAGTCCTCCAGGGTCTCAGGTGCGGGCTTTGAGGCCCGAGGACGGGACTCATGGGTTTCCCGCGGTGTCCCCCTCGGCGGCCCTCTGTGCGGAGGTTTCCATGGTGTACTGTGGAATTCAGAGTCTAAGTGGGGGAAGAGACCGTAGCGGGGACCACCAAACGCCTTTGTACTCGTTTCTCCAGCCTCGGGGGAGGTGCAGTTCGGGTGTTCAGGTGCAAGGTGGCCGAGCGCCGAGGTTTGCTTTCCTCGTGTGGGGAGGGCGTGAATGAAGCACGTCAGGTGTGAGGTGTTGCGGACACGCGATTTTGAAAACGTGAGTCGTCATGAGGGTAGGATTAATGTATAAGCAGCTATTTTCCTGGACATTGCTTGCGCAACACTTGGGGCTGTTGTTCTTGGAAACTTTTTTCGGGACACTTTTTCAGTTGGCTTGTCGGGAGGGTGTCTTAGATGTAATGGGTGCAGTAGTTTTTGTTAGTGTCCCTGGATAGAGGAAGCATAAATAGTTGTCTTTTGCTAGCGGTAAGAGTGCTGTGTCTCTGAAGCTATATGAACTTTCTGTTAATCTGAAACGTGTTTGGGGTTTTTTGATCATCAAAGAAAGCTCGTAAGTCAGAGTTGCTGTGTACTTAGAAAAGCCATGCTTGCTTTTCTAAAGAAATATTCCTGGGGAATTTCTTCAGATGTGTAATAATTGCTGACTGGAAAGATCTTTTTGCAGTAAAAGGTGTTTGCTGTTTCTTATATTAAAATCCAAACTAGCTTCCTCTCCACCTTCTGAAGCGCACCAACAATATTTTCATTTTTATGGGTAATGGGGTTTTATGCCTAATGGGGTTCAAAGACCCTGAAGTTGTGAAGTTGTTGCTCACATGCAATAATACGTTAAAAAGGGGAAAGCACATATCTTCCTGAGGAATTTTGATTGGAAGGATAGAAGTTGCCTTTCATTTTGAATCCCTTAAACCAGTGTCACTTTTTCTACTTAATATTATGTCGGATACCAAAAAGTGCCGGTAAGAGATCTAAGTCCACTCACACCATTTTAACTTTAAATTTGTAAGTCAGTTACTGAAATCTTGTATTTATTTCTTTGTGGTTGTGCATTATGTATTTTCTTTCTCATCACTTTGAGCTCACCCATCTTTAGACCATGTTGTTCTTCATTAAAACTTTCTGAAATGGCTGATAAGGCAGAAGTTACAATTTTCAATCATATCTAAAATACACCAGAATCTGAGTTTTAAAAATTAGATAGTGGAAATGAAATCAAGCATTAAATGTGATTCTTAAAATTATTTGTAAATTTAAATTGATCATGCAATTACTATTTTTGGAGAATCTGTGAAACTAACTTCAATATCTTTTCTCAGTTTTATTCATTAACAGTGATGAGGAAATCATGACCTACCTGTTAGGGAAAAGTATCATCCTAGTACTGAAAATATAAAGTTTTTAAACGTTTTTTGACTCAAAGTGAAAAACACTTGCGTGTTTAAGAAGAGTGAAAAGTTGAAAAAACTTTAGCTTAAGAAACAATTGGGTGGTATATTTTCAGATTTGGAGTGCCAGACTTAAAGGCATTTTATTCTTAAAGCTGTTTAAAGGCGTTATAATAGGATGCCTAGGGAAGGGTGGTGATGAATGAAATTGGGGAAAGGAAACCCCATGGTGATGATTGGCAAAGATGTTTTGTTTTTTTCAGACTCTTCCTTGGAAAGTTGAAATTACAGTATAGTACTGCTATAACCTAAAGCCTAACTGTCTTAGGTCTTGTCTGGTCTGTAATTTCCCAACATCCCTATCCTCCTTATCAGAAACTGGTGGCATTATAAGCCACTGTAGATTTAGACAAAAGGTTTTCAAGAGAGTTAGGAGCTCCTCTTACTAGTCTTTTCTGTCCTTGTCATTCAGAAATTGCCCCATATTTTGTGGTGCATTTTTATTTTGTAGATTGAATGCTGCATATTCATACTAAAATATTCTAGTTTCCAAGATCTCCCCTCTTATCCTACCAATATTTCTGAATTTTGTAATTTATACTGTTAGAATTTTATATACCTTATGTCTTCCCTTCACTTTTGTCTTTCCAGCCTGAAGTACTAATCGTAGGTATATAGATTCACAGAGTACCATTTTATCCATCTTAATATTAATTTTGGTTACTATTTTTTCTTTTGCATACTTTGTGTTTTTTTTTTTTTCTTTATTTTTTTGCTACCCGGGATTGAGCTTGGGTACTTGTGCCTGCGGTCCTTGCGCCTGCACATGGCAGAACCATTGAGCAAAATTCCTGGCCCTACTTTGTGTTTTTTTGTTTGTTTGTTTTTGGGTTTTTTTGTTGTTGTTGTTGTTTTTTGGTTTTTAGTTTTTTTTAGGGGGGGGTACCAGGGATCGAACTGTGCTTGCAAAGCAAGAGCCAGAACCACTGAGCTAAATCCCAGGCCCTACTTTGTGTTTTTTAATTAAGTAGTACAGTGTTTTTAAAGTCATATTTGTCATTTTTGTGTCAGGCATGTTGTGTGTACTTTACATGTCGTAGCATCTTTTACCTTAATGTAATGCTGTAAGGTAGGTATTATTAACTTCATTTTGCACTTCACAAATGAGTAAATAGATTCAGTAACTTAGCTAAGGTTATCTTTTAAGCTTTAGAGTTTGGATTTGAACCTAAGCAACCTGACTCAATACAGGCTCCTGTCTATCATGATCTTTTGGCTGTAAGATCAGAAGGCCGATATTATACATAGTGTACTTACTAGATATGTGTGCTTGGAGATGTTACATAAATCCTTTGAACTTTACTTTTATATTCTCTGAATGGTAAAACTTATCCATTCCTACTAAAGTGTAGTTAGAAGAAAATGTGATAACATTTATGACAGATATTTGTTAAACAGTAATGTAATATATATTATCTGTATATTTAATTGTAAAATCATTCAAGGATTTCTCTAATTCTTACTGTGCAGCAGATGTTTGAGCATTGAAAAGTTGAACAGTTCATCTTTCAGTACTGAAAGTCTCATATCCCAGGAATCCTCTGTTAGCTATTACTGCTGTAACAAAATATCACAAATGTGGTGGCTTGAAATAGCACATTTATTACCTTATAGTTTTGGATGTCAGAATTCCAGAATCAGTTTCATCAAGCAAAGTTAAGGTGTCACCAAGGTACAATAGTTCAATCTGGAGGCTCTGGGGGGGTGAATCCATTATTTTGACTTTTTCAGCTTCGGGAGGCTGCCTCATTCTGTGTCACTTCCTGCATACATCTAATGATTGATCTTTCTGCCTTTCCCTTCCTCTTGTGGTTATATTGGGTCCACCTAAACAATCCAGGGTAATTTTTCTCCTCCAAATCCTTTATTTAGTAATGTCAGCAGAGTTTCTTTTGCCATGGTAAGTAACCATGGATGCAGGAACCAGGATGCAGTGTCTTTTGAGGGATTATTTTTCAGCCTACAGTCTTTCAGACCTGGGCAAACTGAGAAGGTTGATCGTGGTACTGAATAGGAGAAAGACTTGATCCATGCCTTAATTGGTTGATATTCTGAGTGTGTCCCATAATTAGTAAGCCCCAAATATGTATCCTTATATTGAGCTCAATAATGCTTAGTTTATTTTTAGATTAAACAAATCTTTTCTTATAGCCCAAAGGGTCATCTTTGAGAAGCTGATATTTAGACGAATGGGAAGAGACTCACATTTAAACAATTCTCATACATTGGACAAGTATAGTAGATGTACTTTAGAGCACTTCCGGAGCACTACAGCAAGAATGTGTATTCTAACTACAGTTCTATCACTAACTGTATATGCCCTTGGACAAGTTATTTGTGTGAGCCTTGGCTCTCATCCATAAATAGTTTTCTGAATGGATAATTTAAAGTGGGAAAATTTTGTTTTGGACAGAGGAAACATTCCTGTTATCAGGTTATCTAAAGTGTACATTAGATTTGTGGAGAGATGGAAAGGTAGGTTACAGCTAGTTTTTAAGAGACTCGATTATGCACATGAACTCTCATTCTAACCTGGCCGAGGATGTGCCAGTGAAGTACAGGTTGTTTAAATAGGAGAGCAAGAGAGTGAGGTCACGTGGATCCTTTAATTAG